GGGGTGTTTGTTGATACATCCAAGATTGAGATAGTGCAGGATTGGGCACAGCCTAAGAATGTTTTTGAGATCCACAGTTTTCTGGGATTAGTTGGGCATTACCGCCGGTTTGTGAAAGATTTCTCAAGGCTAGCCTCACCGTTGACTAGATGGACACGGGAAAGGGGTCAAATTTGTATAGAGTTAGACTTGTGAAAAGTCGTTCCAAGAGTTGAAAGTTAGATTGACCACCACTCCGATTTTGATTATTCCGGAGAGAGGTTTGGGTTATGCGGTTTATTGTGATGCCTCACGAGAGGGTTTGGGTTGTGTGTTGATGCAAGAGGGAAAAATGGTAGCCTATGGCTCACGTCAGTTGAAGATTCACGAGAGGAATTACCCTACTCACGACCTAGAACGAGCAGCAGTAATTTTTTCCTTGAAGATTTGGAGGCACTACCTTTATGGTGAGAGATGCAAGGTATTCTCAAATCATAAGAGTTTGAAGTACATGTTTACACAGAGAGACTTGAATTTGCTGCAGAGGAAGTGGATGGAGTTCATTGAGGACTATGACTTCGAGTTGCACTATCACCCGGGAAAGGCCAATGTTGTGGCCGATGCCCTTAGTAAGAAATCCATTAGTGATGTAGCTTGTATAGCCATTCGGGAGTGGGAGATGTTGGGTGCAGTTGGCGAGTTTGATTTGCTTCTAGGCGAATTCGTTGAGGCTGCGGCATTGTTTTTTGTTGTTGCGCAGCCTACACTTGTGACTCGAGTGTTAGAGGCACAGGGAGGTGACCTTGAGGTAGAATCCCTCCGAGAGAAGATCTCCAACGGGAAGGCTGAGAAGGGTTTGACGGTGTATCCCGACCTGAGTGTGAGATACCGAGACCGTTTGTTTATGCTAGAGTCTTGCCGAGAGGAAGTACTCCGAGAGTTTCACCATTCACGCCTTGCGGTACATCCGAGAGGTACTAAGATGTATCGTGATTTGGGTCACCAGTTTTGGTGGCGGGGTATGAAGAGAGATGTGGCAGCTTTTGTGTCTAAGTGCCGTACTTGTCGGCAAGTGAAGGCCGAGCCTCAGAGGCCAGCAGGTTTGTTGCAACCCTTGCCTATTACCGAGTGGAAGTGGGAGCATGTCACTATGGACTTCGTTGTAGGTCTTTCGAGGACTCAGCGGGGTAGTGATGCTATTTGGGTGGTTGTAGACTGGTTGACTAAGTCGGCGCACTTCATCCCTATGGGCGTGAGAGATTCGGTAGATCATCTTGCCGACTTGTATATTCGTGACATAGTGAGGTTGCACGGGGTCCTAGTGTTGATCGTCTCAGATAGAGATCCACATTTTACTGCTAAGTTGTGGTAGAGTTTGCAGAATGCCTTAGGCACTAGATTGACCTTTAGCACGGCTTATCATCCTCAGACTGACAAGCAGTCCAAGCGTACTATTCAGATCCTTAAGGATATGCTTCGAGGTTATGTTCTTGACTTTAGTGGGTCGTGGGAGAGGCACTTGCCCTTAGTGGAGTTTGCCTACAACAATAGTTTTCAATCCAGTATCGGTATGGCACCATTCGAGGCCTTGTATGGCCGACCTTGTAGGTCTCTAGTTTGTTGGGCCGAGGTGGGCAATGCACCTTTGTTAGGCCCGGAGTTGGTGAGGGAAACGACGGAGAAAGTTGAGCTTATCCGTAGGAGGCTTATTACAGGCTAGAGTCGCCAAAAGAGTTATGCCGACCGTAGGAGGCCTTTGGCATTTGAGGCGGGTGATCATGTTTTTCTGAAAATATCACCTAGGCGGGGATTGATGAGATTTGGGAAGAGTGGGAAGTTGTCCCTTTGGTTTATAGGCCCTTTCGAGATCCTTGAGAGGATTGGTGAGGTTGCCTATCGTTTAGCTTTGTCGCCGCAGTTATTTACAGCCCAGAGTCGCTAGAAATCTTATGCTGACCGTAGGAGGAGGCCTTTGGCGTTTGAGGTAGGTGATCATGTCTTTCTGAAGGTATCACCTAGGCGAGGTTTGATGAGGTTTGGGAAGAGTGGGAAGTTATCCCCTCGGTTCATTGGGCCTTTTGAGATTCCTGAGAGGGTTGGCGAGGTTGCTTATCGGTTAGCCTTACCGCCGCAGTTGTCTGGAGTGCATGACATGTTTCATGTGAGTATGCTTCGGAAGTATGAGCCGGATCCATCCCATGTGTTAGATTGGACCGACTTAGAGGTAGATGAGGATGCCTCGTATGAGGGAAAAAATCGTCGTCGTGCAGATCTTTATCCGGGGTGCCGGTTACAATTTTTTCCTTGCCCAGTCTAATTTTCAAGTAATAGGCTAGGCCGTCACCGGTGTGACCCATTATGTATTGCCTCAATATCTCGGCTAGCCCTAAGTTGGTGCCTAGCCGATTGTTCAGTTCATGGACGCCATTGATAATTCGATAAGTGTTGGTGGACACTTGTGTGGGTGCCAGCCCGGTGCAGCGGAGGAACTCGGTGATAAGTGGGTTTAGTGGGAAACGGAGGCCTCCTTCGACAATTGACAGCACGGTGAAGGGGCATTGGTCTAGTCTGCCCCAGGGTGTTGTCTCCTCTTCAGCCAGTTCGAGATAGACGTCGGCCGGGATGCTGTACTCCTCTCTGAATGCAGCTAGCGCGGCCGGAGTATCCACTAGGAAGCGGAATTTTCCCATTTGTGGCCGGACTAAGGTAGCTCGGCTGAGGTGTTTGGCACAGTGGCAATTGGTAATTGCTCGGTCTTGAGAGCCTGAGGAATGGATAGTGGTTCCTTTGGACTCTGCAGGAAAAGGATGGCAAGTGTAAGTGTGAGCGCGGTCGCGCGGAAGGAGCTGGACTTTAGCTCGGTCGTTAAGAGTGCCAAACCGCTTCGGTCGTCTAAGCTAACTAAAGAGCTCGGTCGCCCAAGCAGACCAGTTGTTAGCCCGGTTGAGCGACCATTTCCTTTTGTTATCTCAGTTTTTGCTGGGGTTGAGACAAACATGTTATTTGCTCGGTTAGATTGGTTTTTTGGATCAAATGAAGACCAGGAGCCCGGTCCGCCCCAGTTCTTCAGTGTTCTTCATGAAAAACGAAGGACACCATGAACAGTGGCAGGGTTTGGACGATTTCTATGGCTACGACCTAAGAACTATGTTTTAGTGCCCTAATGTGAGAAATATTTAAGAAGATAGCAACAAGAGAGGGGTCGAAGGACTTACCAGTGAAAGGCAGGAACTGTTCCTTCGAGCACGAAGAATGGCAGACGAGGCTGGGAGAAAGTTGCTTGAGCTCTGAAGCGTCGGATTGCAGAGAAGCAGTAGGAGCGAGTTGAGGAAGAGGGGGCTTGTATGTATAGACGAAGAAACCGCCAAAAATTCAAATTCTGGCGGACGGCTAGTTTGGCTGCTCGAGAACCAATGGCAGCCCGCCACGTGTCACCATTTATGGCGACGTCAGAACTGAGACAGGTTGAAGAGTCGAAGAGCCAACCGAGCTACTTTAAAAGAAGAGGACGTCAGCCGAGGAATATAACCGGGCAAGTTTGCAGAAGTAATGTTAACTAGCCCGGTCGCCCTTTGGCATTTTGAAGACCGAAGAAATGTTACCTCGGTCAAAATATAGGTAATCCCAGTCACGCTCGCGCGGACGGAATTAAGGGGCAATTGAGAGGGAGATTTATGATCTGGAATTGGGCCGAGGCAACGGCCGAGCAAGTTGAGAGCCTAATGGTGCATGGGGCCGAGATGACCAGCGATCCGCCCGGAGATGGGCTGCCAGGAGTTGGGCCGGGCAGGAGTTGGGCCAAGCATGTGCCGCCCTAGACCGTAAAGAAGCTGCTCGGCAAGGCAGTGCTCGGTTGGACCGTGCTGCTTGATCAGGCGATGGTGGAGCCAGTCAAGCTTAATGACCGGTGCCCGGAAAGGCGTGGTCAGCCGAGGTAATCATTTAATCGGCAGGAAGACCGACCGCAGGAGGTGCCCCGGGCTAGGCTTTACCGAGATGCCGCCTAGCCTGGTCCTCCTTGGGCTTAGCCCGTGAAGTGCTTGGGTATGAAGCACAGCACGGCCGTGGATAGAAAAGCTCGGTTGCCGAGCTCCAGCTGAGAAGGCAGGAAGTTGAGATTAGGTGATATTCAGCAAGGTTTATGCTGACAGATGGGATAGCGGAGCCACGTGTCAGGAAATGACTGAGAGTGGATATGGGGCGCAGAGGGTATATAAGCATGTCTGCGCCCCCCATACGGGGACAGACGAACACTTTGTAAGAAATTCTTACACTCAAACACTCCTCTCTCTCTCTCCATCCTAAGGTATGTGCTAACTTGATCGTCAGAGGATTTTTCCGGCCACACACCGCCGGGTAGCTCACCGTTATTTGCTTGCAGGTGATCGGACGGAAACAGAGCTCGGAAGAAAGGAGTACGGGCTTGCCGGAATATTTGCTCTCCGTACAATTACTAATTTTAACAAACTGCACCAAAATCTAATGTTATGCTTACTTTTTCTTTTTTTTCATTAATTTTCAGTATAGATTTGATTAAAATTTTCATCTGATACCAAATATTTTGAAATTAAATTTTTAATTTTCATCAAATAATTGATCGATCGGAAAGATATCTGAATGATTGACCAACTTATGTTTCTCTCCATTTTTGCAAGCATCAACGGATAACCAGTTTGTCGTTTGGTATACTGTAACATCCCAATTGTTACTTGCAAGGCTGCAACAAGAATGGTTCCCTTCTCAATTCGATGATATGCTCCAACCTCCCTCAATTTAATAAAAAAAAATTTAAATTTTTTCCCATTTTATATGAATTTTAGTTTATGGTTGGCGTAACAAATATGTACTTATTACATCAAAAAAGAATAAGCGTTCAAGACACGGGTCTCTCTCTCAGGTGGTGTTTGGCAACTTGATTTTTTTTTTTTTCACTACAAGATAAAATTTTACAAAATTAAAAAAAATAAATTCAAATAAAATATTACATCAAATTCTATAATCATTTTATTTTTTTTCTTACAAACATCACATTCAACTATAAAAAAATTCAACTATCTTTCTAAACCCACAAAAAAATTCTTCTAACAAAATTCTACAATTAAAAAAACCTACCTCCCAAACATCCGCTCTATAAAATCAGTTTGTGGTATATAATTGTCTACTTTCAAGTTTTGACTCCTCTCTGTCTCTCTCTCTCTCTCTGTCGCTGTGACGGACACACAGAACAACAATGGGAGCAACGGTGTCTAGTTTGCTTGGAGGAGGAGGAGACTCTGCAAACGCCGACAACTCTTCCGCAACGTCCTCGGAGCCATCTCGCGTCATCCCATTTCACTCATCCAACAGTTGGCAGCTCCACTTTAATGCCTCTAAACAAACCTCAAAGCTCGTACATACATACATACTCTCTCTCTCTCTCTCTCTCTCTCTCTCTCTCTCTATCTGTTATTAGTAAAGTTGTTAATCGAATTTCAAGATCTGAATCGTATCTTAGTTATATATATATATATCCCCCTTCTTGTGTTGCGTAATTTGTGAAGATGGTGGTGGATTTCTCTGCGTCGTGGTGTGGGCCCTGCAAGCTCATGGAGCCGGCAATCCACGAGATGGCCGACAAGTTCACCGACGTCGAGTTCCTGAAGATCGATGTCGATGAATTGTCCGTAAGACTCTGTTTTTTTTTTATTATTATTTTTTATTCAGATATAAATAGTCGAATTTGATTTGATGATGATCAATTGCATTTTTTTGCGGATAGGATGTGGCGGAGGAGTTTGGGGTGGAGGCGATGCCGACGTTCGTGTTGGTGAAGCAAGGGAAGGAGGTCGACAGAGTCATCGGGGCCAAGAAGGATGAGCTGGAGAAGAAGGTTGAGATGCACACTGAAACCAGAATTTGCTGCTTCGTCTATTAAGTACTGTAATAATCATCTCTCACTTTGCTTAGAGTACCTATAACTTTAACAAAGATTTTTGCAGATGAACACACAAATTGTGATGATGGTCGTGTTAACCATGTCTACTGTTTTGTGAGGAGAACTAGTAGCACTTTCACTTCAATTGACAGTGGATAATACTGTAAATATAGAATTATTACACACAAAATTCATAGAAAATGTCATGATCATTTTTGGTCTTTCCATTTCAAATTAGAACACAAAATGTCATTGTTATTATTCTGAATGTATTCTATTTGCTCCTATAAAAAAAATTTATTTATGAATTTTCTTTTCCTTTCCTTTTTTAATTTAAAATATGCATGTGCTTGTATTTACTTATATAGTTTCTTTTGTGTTACTACCTAGTGACGGAGGTATCTGACTGATGAGAATAGAGCAGAAAATTCATCACTTCAGAAAAATTGGATGCCCGTTAGAAATGGAATAAAAAATAAATCACTTAAAGCTCATATTTTTTTGAAAAAATTATTAGATGGTCTCGAATTAACCACATAATAAACAATGCTTACATGGTATGGTGCTCTCAGAACTATTAAATAATTATTTTCTTCTTTTTTTTTAGGGTATAATTAAAACTTGTCTGATGTTTTGTTTCTCAGCTAAATTAATGAAATTTAGTCAGAAATGAAAATTAGCAATGAAAAAACGACGAGGGCAGAGCAGCAACTGAAAATGCCTGGCATTAAGGCAGGGTGCACATATAGAAAGTATAGGGGGTTACACCTTCAATTGGGTGATTGACAAAAAAAAAAAAGGATGCCGGTGGATGATGGTCAATTGGATCCCAATTTGGAGATCTTCACACTCAGCACCACCAGATGTATATATATATACCATAAATAAAAATGGTTCATCTCCCCTCAAACAGTGTATGATTGCTGAATTGTATCAATGTCTAGTCCCTTCAACTTCACAACTGATTCAACATGACCTTTCAGTGTATGCAGTTCTCTCAACCTGTAGAGAGGGAGAAATGCATCCATCAGCTCTAAATAAATCCCACACCCTAGATTTTCTTTTTCTAAACCACCCCAGAATAACAGACTTAGCCATCCAATTAATATATTCAAAGCAAAATGGCAAAAGAATAAAATCAAGCTAAATCTCTACTTGAGAAACTTGCAGATTTTAAAAACATATGCATGTGTTTACCTTGCAATCTCTGCTCGTCTTTTTGCCTCTTCAGCCATCTGATTAAGATCATTGAAATTACTGCGATCACCAAACAATGTCTTGGACTCGGGAGGTTGCAGCCCATGGAGGGTCCTCTGTGCATGTGCCCATTTAAGTTCCCGTTCTTCCTTCCCAAAATCCTTTTTCCTCGTGAAAGCAATCTGCAAGACAAAAAGTTTTCACCACATGACAGTCAATTAAGAGATTTATTCACTCAAGTCCTTCACCGAATAAGTATTCTTTCATACCCTTTGCTCGATAACTAGATCCCAAGCTTTTCCACTTATTGCATATCGGATAATGAACTTTATAAAATCAAGGGGGATGTAAGTTATGATGTTGTAAAGCCAAATCACACCAGCCCAACCCCATCCAATCCCTTCAATTTCAGCAAAACTCCAGTTTGCATAAACAGCAATCAGTGTAGCAACCTGCTCACACAAACGGAAAGTTTATTCTAAAGGTGATTCTTCAAGTAACTAGGACTTAGGATGCACTTTCCTGGAAAAAATAAAGAAAAGAATAGAAAACAGCAGTTCACTTACCAACTGAGCAACAACAAAAGCCACCACTAGCAAAAGGCCAGGACGTTCAACGAAAGACCAACTCCTAGAACGTGTCACAAATATTAGGGCCTGACTGATGATACTCACTTGCAGGTATATTGCCGATGCAAGCTTCCTGAAGTCATCATGAGCTGTTGCTTCAAGAGTTGAAACCCCAAATACACGCTGGAAATTACACAAAAGGAGGGGAAAATAAGTCTCAAGACCAAGCAGCTTAACTCAAGATTCCTTGTACGTTTACAAGCATAACACTGATAGATCAGTGAAAAGATGAATCATTCAGACTTCAGTCTAGAAGTAAATAATAAAAATTGCATACAGGAACAGTGAAGGCGTCTAAATTTGGAATGCATTTTCATAATTTCACAAGATCAGGCACACTTCAAAATTTTGGATTTATCAATTACATAGAGCCTAAAATAAAATGCAAATAACAAGCGCATATAAACATCATACATTCTTGAAAATGTCTCATCAATGAAAACTGTATATCAATATTAGCAAATCTAAACTATTATGTTAAGCCAGGACCAGGGGTGGTCACCAATTCACAAAATATGAAATCCTTTGGCATATGTCCTATCAGGTGTATCCAATCAACTATTTCATGACCCATTTACTATAGTTATAAGTTTTCTTACAGGAAAAAAATTGGTCTTGTATGCTGCCCAGAAGAAAATGACTGTCATCATGGCCATTTCATTTTCACTCCAACAGATAAACGAACAATAAGAAACAAACGAAGTTGACAACATCTTTTACCTTTACATTATTACCCACAAAGATGTGAGATGAGATGAGACGAGATAAGACGACCTTTCATTTTCACTCCAACAGATAAACGAACAATAAGAAACAAACGAAGTTGACAACATCTTTTACCTTTACATTATTACCCACAAAGATGTGAGATGAGATGAGACGAGATAAGACGACCTTTCATTTTCACTCCAACAGATAAACGAACAATAAGAAACAAACGAAGTTGACAACATCTTTTACCTTTACATTATTACCCACAAAGATGTGAGATGAGATGAGACGAGATAAGACGACCTTTCATTTTCACTCCAACAGATAAACGAACAATAAGAAACAAACGAAGTTGACAACATCTTTTACCTTTACATTATTACCCACAAAGATGTGAGATGAGATGAGACGAGATAAGACGACCTTTCATTTTCACTCCAACAGATAAACGAACAATAAGAAACAAACGAAGTTGACAACATCTTTTACCTTTACATTATTACCCACAAAGATGTGAGATGAGATGAGACGAGATAAGACGACCTTTCATTTTCACTCCAACAGATAAACGAACAATAAGAAACAAACGAAGTTGACAACATCTTTTACCTTTACATTATTACCCACAAAGATGTGAGATGAGATGAGACGAGATAAGACGACCTTTCATTTTCACTCCAACAGATAAACGAACAATAAGAAACAAACGAAGTTGACAACATCTTTTACCTTTACATTATTACCCACAAAGATGTGAGATGAGATGAGACGAGATAAGACGACCTTTCATTTTCACTCCAACAGATAAACGAACAATAAGAAACAAACGAAGTTGACAACATCTTTTACCTTTACATTATTACCCACAAAGATGTGAGATGAGATGAGACGAGATAAGACGACCTTTCATTTTCACTCCAACAGATAAACGAACAATAAGAAACAAACGAAGTTGACAACATCTTTTACCTTTACATTATTACCCACAAAGATGTGAGATGAGATGAGACGAGATAAGACGACCTTTCATTTTCACTCCAACAGATAAACGAACAATAAGAAACAAACGAAGTTGACAACATCTTTTACCTTTACATTATTACCCACAAAGATGTGAGATGAGATGAGACGAGATAAGACGACCTTTCATTTTCACTCCAACAGATAAACGAACAATAAGAAACAAACGAAGTTGACAACATCTTTTACCTTTACATTATTACCCACAAAGATGTGAGATGAGATGAGACGAGATAAGACGACCTTTCATTTTCACTCCAACAGATAAACGAACAATAAGAAACAAACGAAGTTGACAACATCTTTTACCTTTACATTATTACCCACAAAGATGTGAGATGAGATGAGACGAGATAAGACGACCTTTCATTTTCACTCCAACAGATAAACGAACAATAAGAAACAAACGAAGTTGACAACATCTTTTACCTTTACATTATTACCCACAAAGATGTGAGATGAGATGAGACGAGATAAGACGACCTTTCATTTTCACTCCAACAGATAAACGAACAATAAGAAACAAACGAAGTTGACAACATCTTTTACCTTTACATTATTACCCACAAAGATGTGAGATGAGATGAGACGAGATAAGACGACCTTTCATTTTCACTCCAACAGATAAACGAACAATAAGAAACAAACGAAGTTGACAACATCTTTTACCTTTACATTATTACCCACAAAGATGTGAGATGAGATGAGACGAGATAAGACGACCTTTCATTTTCACTCCAACAGATAAACGAACAATAAGAAACAAACGAAGTTGACAACATCTTTTACCTTTACATTATTACCCACAAAGATGTGAGATGAGATGAGACGAGATAAGACGACCTTTCATTTTCACTCCAACAGATAAACGAACAATAAGAAACAAACGAAGTTGACAACATCTTTTACCTTTACATTATTACCCACAAAGATGTGAGATGAGATGAGACGAGATAAGACGACCTTTCATTTTCACTCCAACAGATAAACGAACAATAAGAAACAAACGAAGTTGACAACATCTTTTACCTTTACATTATTACCCACAAAGATGTGAGATGAGATGAGACGAGATAAGACGACCTTTCATTTTCACTCCAACAGATAAACGAACAATAAGAAACAAACGAAGTTGACAACATCTTTTACCTTTACATTATTACCCACAAAGATGTGAGATGAGATGAGACGAGATAAGACGACCTTTCATTTTCACTCCAACAGATAAACGAACAATAAGAAACAAACGAAGTTGACAACATCTTTTACCTTTACATTATTACCCACAAAGATGTGAGATGAGATGAGACGAGATAAGACGACCTTTCATTTTCACTCCAACAGATAAACGAACAATAAGAAACAAACGAAGTTGACAACATCTTTTACCTTTACATTATTACCCACAAAGATGTGAGATGAGATGAGACGAGATAAGACGACCTTTCATTTTCACTCCAACAGATAAACGAACAATAAGAAACAAACGAAGTTGACAACATCTTTTACCTTTACATTATTACCCACAAAGATGTGAGATGAGATGAGACGAGATAAGACGACCTTTCATTTTCACTCCAACAGATAAACGAACAATAAGAAACAAACGAAGTTGACAACATCTTTTACCTTTACATTATTACCCACAAAGATGTGAGATGAGATGAGACGAGATAAGACGACCTTTCATTTTCACTCCAACAGATAAACGAACAATAAGAAACAAACGAAGTTGACAACATCTTTTACCTTTACATTATTACCCACAAAGATGTGAGATGAGATGAGACGAGATAAGACGACCTTTCATTTTCACTCCAACAGATAAACGAACAATAAGAAACAAACGAAGTTGACAACATCTTTTACCTTTACATTATTACCCACAAAGATGTGAGATGAGATGAGACGAGATAAGACGACCTTTCATTTTCACTCCAACAGATAAACGAACAATAAGAAACAAACGAAGTTGACAACATCTTTTACCTTTACATTATTACCCACAAAGATGTGAGATGAGATGAGACGAGATAAGACGACCTTTCATTTTCACTCCAACAGATAAACGAACAATAAGAAACAAACGAAGTTGACAACATCTTTTACCTTTACATTATTACCCACAAAGATGTGAGATGAGATGAGACGAGATAAGACGACCTTTCATTTTCACTCCAACAGATAAACGAACAATAAGAAACAAACGAAGTTGACAACATCTTTTACCTTTACATTATTACCCACAAAGATGTGAGATGAGATGAGACGAGATAAGACGACCTTTCATTTTCACTCCAACAGATAAACGAACAATAAGAAACAAACGAAGTTGACAACATCTTTTACCTTTACATTATTACCCACAAAGATGTGAGATGAGATGAGACGAGATAAGACGACCTTTCATTTTCACTCCAACAGATAAACGAACAATAAGAAACAAACGAAGTTGACAACATCTTTTACCTTTACATTATTACCCACAAAGATGTGAGATGAGATGAGACGAGATAAGACGACCTTTCATTTTCACTCCAACAGATAAACGAACAATAAGAAACAAACGAAGTTGACAACATCTTTTACCTTTACATTATTACCCACAAAGATGTGAGATGAGATGAGACGAGATAAGACGACCTTTCATTTTCACTCCAACAGATAAACGAACAATAAGAAACAAACGAAGTTGACAACATCTTTTACCTTTACATTATTACCCACAAAGATGTGAGATGAGATGAGACGAGATAAGACGACCTTTCATTTTCACTCCAACAGATAAACGAACAATAAGAAACAAACGAAGTTGACAACATCTTTTACCTTTACATTATTACCCACAAAGATGTGAGATGAGATGAGACGAGATAAGACGACCTTTCATTTTCACTCCAACAGATAAACGAACAATAAGAAACAAACGAAGTTGACAACATCTTTTACCTTTACATTATTACCCACAAAGATGTGAGATGAGATGAGACGAGATAAGACGACCTTTCATTTTCACTCCAACAGATAAACGAACAATAAGAAACAAACGAAGTTGACAACATCTTTTACCTTTACATTATTACCCACAAAGATGTGAGATGAGATGAGACGAGATAAGACGACCTTTCATTTTCACTCCAACAGATAAACGAACAATAAGAAACAAACGAAGTTGACAACATCTTTTACCTTTACATTATTACCCACAAAGATGTGAGATGAGATGAGACGAGATAAGACGACCTTTCATTTTCACTCCAACAGATAAACGAACAATAAGAAACAAACGAAGTTGACAACATCTTTTACCTTTACATTATTACCCACAAAGATGTGAGATGAGATGAGACGAGATAAGACGACCTTTCATTTTCACTCCAACAGATAAACGAACAATAAGAAACAAACGAAGTTGACAACATCTTTTACCTTTACATTATTACCCACAAAGATGTGAGATGAGATGAGACGAGATAAGACGACCTTTCATTTTCACTCCAACAGATAAACGAACAATAAGAAACAAACGAAGTTGACAACATCTTTTACCTTTACATTATTACCCACAAAGATGTGAGATGAGATGAGACGAGATAAGACGACCTTTCATTTTCACTCCAACAGATAAACGAACAATAAGAAACAAACGAAGTTGACAACATCTTTTACCTTTACATTATTACCCACAAAGATGTGAGATGAGATGAGACGAGATAAGACGACCTTTCATTTTCACTCCAACAGATAAACGAACAATAAGAAACAAACGAAGTTGACAACATCTTTTACCTTTACATTATTACCCACAAAGATGTGAGATGAGATGAGACGAGATAAGACGACCTTTCATTTTCACTCCAACAGATAAACGAACAATAAGAAACAAACGAAGTTGACAACATCTTTTACCTTTACATTATTACCCAC